GCTCCTACCTCAGCGTCTGCGCCCTGCGCCTGCACAGCTGGGCCGCCCGCCCGCGCCTGCACAAGGCACACGACGGCGAGTGCAAGCTGGGTGAGTCCGGCGGCGGGGACTGAGGGAGGGAGGCCGGGCAACCCCTCCTGGCCCTAGCCAAGCTGGCAATCTGCCTAGCCGCGGGGGAGGCTCTGACCTGGACCGAGGACTGCGGGACCCTTTTCCTGCCCCTCCTCTGGTCACGTCTCCAGGTAGAGTTTCATTGGGCAGTGCCCACTGGCCCCTTGGACTCGTTCAAGGGCCCGTGGGTGCTGTCCACTGTGCTCCACTGCAAGTGTCCCCCCCTGTCGAGGCGCTGGTTTTGAAGCTTCACTCCCATCCCTGTTTCGTCTTTTTATTTGTCCCATGAATTCAGTGAACACATACCCAGTAGCCCGTGTCACCCAGTGGCGGAGCGGGGATGCTGAAAGGGAGAGTGAGCTGGGTGTGCCCAGGGTTTTTTTCTTTCCCCACAGTTCCTCCCCCCCTTGCAGCCTCCAGCATTTGAGGTCTAGGAAGTTGTGATTTAGATGTGGTCTCCCTAAATCCCATGCTCAATAACTAACATGGGCCAGTGCATGCCTTCAGATCGGCCCCCACAGCAGTCCACAGAGGGTACTGGGGTTTGCAGGTGTCTGCCAGCTGCTGCACTGGAAGTGTGGTCAGTTCAAGTGTGCAGGCAGATGTTTGCAGGGGGAAACAGAGTCGGAGTCAGGTTTGGACCTGCAGAGAAGGAGCCGAGCAGAGGCTGGAGGTTGGGGAGGGGGTATCTGGTCATGTCTGGACAGTTCCTCACGGGGGTGATGTGGGGAGGGTGCTTTGCCCATGTAATAACTGCCTGTGCTGCAGAGATAAAGCATTGTGTAAGCATTGCAATAGCTGGCCTGCTTGCTCCTAGGTCTGGACACATTCTCTTCTTTCCTGCTCACCTAAGTGGCTTTTTTGGACATCTACAGTGTATTTTTGGTACTTGTACATTCAGAGGTACTCTGTCTCTGGATGCATAGCCACACACATGTGGCTGACTATGTATACTGTATATCCAGACTGGCAGCAGCAAAGCATAGAATGAACCCTCCCATCATTTCCCCACAGAAGGAGCTGAGGAGGCCAGAGGTCCTGAATCCTGCATGCCTCACACCTAGAAGGGGGTTTTGAACTTAGGCCTTTTTGACTTTCCAATCCAGCACTCAAACTCCCATACAGCAAGTCCACCATCCTTCAGCTCCTTCTCTGGAAATTCTTTTGAAGCCAGTACTGGGTGGCCACGAGCAGAGCCCAGAGGAAGAGAGCAAGCCAGAAGATGTGTGATTCTGTAAGCAGTGGCAACGCGTAGAGCGTGCACGGGGGTAAACATGCACCCCCTGTCAGGCTGCACTCCCAATTTAGGCGATGGGCAGGGGGGCAGGCAGGAGGACCGGTGACCCGCCATGAGCGCCGTCCAGGGAGCGAGGCTACCAGCAAAAATGGCTGCACCGCTTCCAGAAGTGCCCTGCTGACCGGGGGGGGGCACTTGCCCCCCCTGACTCGACAGGCACCAGCCACCCATGTCTGTAAGGCACCTGCCGGCCTGGAAAGTGAGGCATGAATTCTGGTTAGGGCCTTTGTTTCCAGTGAAGCAGTAGCTTCCGCCTGCCCTGCCCTCCATCTTCCTTTTTCAAACCTATGTCAGTGGCTCTGGTTCAGAGGGAACACTGTAGAAGGCAATGAGCAATGCATGACCTGTGGAGTGGTGGTTGGACTGCTGTGCTATGTTTAAGAAGCAAAAATTAGTCCTGGCTCAAAACCCCTAAGGCCTCCAGCATTTCAGATAAGTGCTCAAACCTGATTTGTGATTAGAGTGTTGAGCTGGGAAATAAAAGAGGCTCTGGTTCACTTCCCATGGAGCAATAGGCTCCCAGGACTTCCAACATCCTGGGGAAGAAGAAAAGACTGCTCTTGGGGGAGACCAAGGGGGTGTACAGCTAAAAGTGGGTAGCCCTGGGACAGAGCTCCACCATGCTGACCGTAGGAGCAGTACAACCACTAGGCAGTGCTTCTGGCTCCAGCCTCATTATCCCATGGATAGTGGGCTCAACTCAATCCTCAGAGCTGTCAGGTGTGTGTTACATTCTCCCGTGTCCAGAGTCCTCTAAGTTCCTGCACAGAGTACTGCACAGAAGTACTCCAGCCGCTATTTTGGCTGGAGCATACCCCCAGGTCAGGGACCCTGCTATCCAGCCACTCTTATTCTCCAGGTAGTCTTAGCCAGCTGTGGGTTTCCACCTCCCACCTCAGTAACTTGAGAGCAATATGCCACAGCACCCCGTGATCTCATGAGTTTCCAACGCTCACAAGCCATGCACCTGGTGAAATGGGTTCACTCACTTTTGATATTTTCCCTGAAAGAAATGCTTGATTTCCAAGCTGGCTGGACACACACACACACACACACACACAAAAGAAATGGTGTGTCTGCCAAACTGGGTTAAGTGTTGTATGTTGTGGGCTTGGCTCTGAAAAGGGCTGAGCAGTCATGACCCAAATCAGCAAGGCACTTGGGCATATCCTCAACTTTGAGCTTACAAGATGAGACCATTAAAGTTAAGCATATTTTTAAAGTTAAGCATGAGCTGAAGTGCTTTTCTGAACTGTGCCAACTGAGGAAGTAATACAGAAAAGGCCATTTGAGAGGATCCGGTAGTCAAACACTGAATGAGTTCATTTTAGAAGTAAGCAGTTTCATCTGTGACAAAGTCATAATCCAAACATGTCAAGGTCTGTAGAAATCTTTCAATGCTAATTCTTTTGCTTGGTGAGTGATATTCCTAACCAATAACTTTTCTGAGTTTCTTTTCTTAAAATTATAAGATGCTTGTAGATGAGGGCACTTTCAAAATGTTCCTCTCCAGACACGCATGAGTAAGTTCTATCTTGAGTATTCAACTTACCCTTCCAATGAACTAATAACTCAGTGCAACTAAGTCCTTTTAGAGGCAAACATTTTCTAATCTGCAAGTGTTTCACAAACATTAGCTAGAGCATTTCAGAACATGATTCCAAATTATATGTAATTAATTCTAATACTGAAAAAAATGGCACTCTGCTTTTTATTATAGGACCGTGGCTTATACAGCTAACACTGTCAGTGCTTATATAATTAATCTGAATTTTCAGAATAAGTAACTTGATAATAAAAATTCATGTAGGGCTAAAACTTAACACACAAATACTCAGCACATTAAAAACAAAATAAAAATAAGGGATGAAAATGAATGCCCCCACCACCACTGATCATTCCAGAAGTTCCTTGTATAGTAAAAACACACCACCACCCTCCAAAACACTGTGAGATTTAGTGATTTTTTTAGCATTGATTCATAAGTGGAAGCTCTGATTATTTATTTTTAATAAATTGTGATTAGCAACTAATCGGTTGGAGCTGTAGTCACATCTGGTAGTTCAAAAAGTAGTTTGTACTGACCAGGAGAGGATTTTGTTCCTTAAAACCTGGCATATAGAAATCTTTTCTGCACAGATTCTTAATGCATAGTTAGCATTTTGAGTAGATACACAGTTAAACTTCCATTAAATTAAGCCCCTAGATAATTCTACCCTCTGTTGTTTTCCCAGAACACTGAATATAGCCCCATCCTCCGTGATCCAAATCTTAAACCCAGAACAAAGCCAAAAGCACGGGGGATCTCTGACAGACATTGACTCTCCTCTGCCCCTCATAGCCCCACTAGCACTGCTACCCAGCTGCTCCCACAGCCTCAGTTCTGCATTTTCCCTGGGGACCATTGCACTTCATCCCTACTGTGCAATTACAGACACACTGGGCATTACCCCAGCCTGGCTTCCCACAAAAACCCTCCCCCAGTGCTCAGGAAGTAGCATTTGAGCTCATTTGGCAGGCTTCCTCCTAGATCTGCTGCATGCTGGACATTCTGCCCTGCAAGGGGACAGAGGAGGGCATGGGGTACAGATTTTGCTCCTTATTGTGGTCTGTGTGGAGCCAAAGGGGTCTGCCTGAAAGCTTAAAACATGACCTTCAGAGGAGTGCAGTAGTCATCTGTCTGTGCTGTCCTGATGACAGGACACAAGCCAGGTAGTTCCAAGCATCTTGTACTCAGTCCCATCAAACTGGTCCAACAACAGCATGACTTGAAGAAGGGCTGTCAGCTTTCATGTTTTCTGCCCTTTGCCAGTCACCTCCCCTCCACAATGTTATTTAACTATTAGTGCTAGTTAATATTTTATTGCATCTTCTTCCTTTTGTTCCGGTAATGATAAAAATGCAGCCAAAGAGGGGTACATTTATGTATAAGTAAGTACCTCATTATATCGTAACCTAGGGGCACTAATTTATTCAGCTGTAATCAGTGGGGTAATTTTTAACAGTTCCCTGTGGGACCCAGGCTGCGTGCAGGCTGGGCAGGCCTGGAGAACAGCTGCTTCCTTTACTATTTGTAATCAAACCATGCCTCCTCATTTGTTTATTTTTTAATGAGCATCTCTGAAGCCTGTAGGGGGAAAAGAGCTCCTGAATTAAACGTGGTTTCTAGTTTCATTGTGTCTAGCATCCCTGATATAGCATAGATATATTTCAGAGACAAAATGGCATACTTGGAGGTCTGTTTAAAGTGTACAATCGCCACTCTGGCTTTTAAATATCCAAACTGGTATAATGGAACATGGGCTTACTGACAGCTTTAAATGATGGGGATATATGAACAGAGCTTACAGAATTCTGCTGCCTGCCTTTTCATCAACTCTAATTTCTAACAAATGCATTTATTAAAAGACTTTATACCATTTTCCAGAGACAGGCCTGGTTTCTACAATCCCACAGGAGGCTGAGCTTCTAAAGCAAGAGAATCTCCCATGCTATGGGCTTTTTGAATGGCTCTTAGAATCCTTTGAGCCACTGACACCCCAAGTGTTCTTTACAATGCTCTGCATATATCAAGAAATAAATTCTTGATCTCCTTTCATCTCCACCAGCGCTTTTCACACTCCCTTTAATCCTTTCGCTGACTCAACCAATAAGAGATTAGGCAAAAGCTGTGCTAAATTCA